TCCTTCTTTTTCCGCTGAAGAATGACAGAAGTTTACACAGAAAATGTGTAAAGAAGATTTTTGCTAATACCGTGTTGTGTTTGTGCAGTACCATGTAAATATCATGGTGCATGAATAAGGAAATCATTGATCATTGCATGTTCACTCCACAATATATTATTAAAGCTTGTACCAGTTCTTCCTCATTTACTTTCACTTCATCTGTTTTATTAATACTATACTCTTTCAATAATATTAATGGTGCAGTGATGGGTTCAGATGATTACCAAATGATTATCATATTCATATAACATTTATATGGTGAGTCAATGCATTACCAAAAAACATGTGATGTCTAATGGTTTATTAGTTTAAGCAGTGTCAGACGGCTCCTCCAGTTAATGTCTTTTTCTCCTTAGAGATGAATTGGCACAGTTGCAACACTCATCTCTGATTCATTTCAGAGTGGAAATGTTGCCGTTTCCTAAACCGATGGCAGCTAAATTTCCCTTGTGTCTTTGTGTTTTCCAGTCGTTTGAATTAGTGGCTTGTTAACTGTATAGTTCTGGTGCTGTTCTTTCGGTTAAACCTCATGACAAGCCATTATCTGACAATTGATTTCAAAATCTGAATGACAAACTCGTAATTAGATTTCATCTGAAAGTGGCAGCCAATACAGCTCCAGTGATGAAAACCCCTACGAGTCCTCCTTATGCGGCATAATATCGGCCTTACGGCAGAGGTGAGGTATTATCAGTCACATAATCTTTATTTAATAAAAAAAAGTAATTAGTTTTTGTCGTTGGCTTTCCACAGCATCGTGTCCTTGGAAGAGAGTCACTTCTGCCCTCTTCATCCTAAAACTTCAGCACTCTGAGGCAAAGTCGCGTTTTTACTCGAGCCGATCATCCATCTCGCTGGATTAGCGACGTCCTCCTAAACAAACAAATCGCTGTTTTGTTCCCAGTACGGCAGTCGAGCCCTTTTCTGTGTGCGCCCTATAAAGCTGCAGGTGTGTTAGAGTTTAAGAGCGAGCTTTCGTGTCCTTAAATCATTTACCCTCTGCAAACTCATATAACTACAAAACGCCGACAACTCTGTCTGGTCTGCAAACTACGTTTCACAACCAAACGCACGCGAGTAGAGATAAGGAAATAACGCAAGCTTACACGATCAGAGTTCTCGCGCAAGACTGGAAATGTTATTAAAATGGTAGCCTGCAAGAAGTTCGCGATACAAATGGTCTGTGTGCTGATTTGCAGCGAAAGGGTGAAGAAAAAAAAAAAAAAAGATTATGGAGGAGGAAATGTTTACTGTGATATAGAGAATGTGCACTGCATTCTGGGTAGTTGCCGCCATGTTTTAGGACACGCTAAGTAGCGTACAATGACAACAAATACAAATCACCAGAGGAAAAAACTGCTGTATTTGCGTTAATATTTTTAAGAGCTGCTTGAATTTGCTTAGAATAATTGGACTATTCATATTTAATAATGATCATTCGAACGCTCAGTCACATACACACTACACCGCCTTCTATCGTATCACACACAGGACCAAACTGATCTCTCTTTTGCAGTTTTTAATAACTAGATGGCACTGATATATCTGCCAGATAAAACAATAAACACAATATAGCTTGATCTCAGCCACCCTTACCAAAAAGTAGTATACTTCAAGTTTATTTTAGTAAGTATACTTCAGTAAAGTTCAAGTATATTTTTAAGTATACTTTATGTAGTAAGTATACAAATATCAGTGTACTAGTAGTATACTTGTTCTGAGAAGTACATAAAGCCCATTTCTGAGAAGTACATAAAAAGTAGACTAAAAGTATACTTTCCTATTTTTAGTTTAAAAGAAGTATACTAATAGCACACTTTAATAAACTTATTTTTCGTAAGGGCAGTTGATCATGTATTTCAGTGGTTCTCAATTACAGTTCTCTGCATATTTTGTATGTTTCTCTTATCACTTCAGACGTTTGTTCTATTCGACAGTAAGTGCCCTGCAAAGTGGACATCACAATATATTCCACCATGATTCCAGTTCGAAGCAAGCGTATATGTTCCATTCAAAGAGCATTAAACTGTGCGAAACATTAATTTAAATTGTATTTATTTACAGGGGTGTATTATGTCACAGTTCACACTTCTCTAGTAAGTTATGTCTGTGTGTGAAGATGCTGCAAGCGGTGGCGTAGCACAAATCCGTAAATGAATGTTCTGAAGTGAAATAAACTTTACCGGATTTCCTTTGCTCAGGGAGAAGGGAGCAAAGAACACTGTGTAGGGAGCATGTCAGTCGGTACACAGTTCATGCACATAGCTCTCTTCTAACGAGCTGGTTATCTGAATCAGGTGTGTTAACTAAGAGAGACATGCAAAATATGTAGAGCGGGGGTAACGTTACACGAGGACAGGAACTGAGAACTGTTGTATTTAATCAACACATTATCATATCGCTCTAATACGACCCTCTGTAATGCAGCTCTGAAATTAAGTATATTGTGAAAGCACTACAAATAAGTTTTACTGGACTTAAATGGAACAAATACAACTTTTCACAAAGAGTTGCTGAATAATGAATCAAAGGAGCGGTTGCTTTATGAACATGGAGAGTGATCGTAACGACCTGTATCACACATAACATTTCCAAACTTCATGGCGTGAGCACTTACAAATTCATGTGGATTGGAAATTATGAATCTGTAATAAATAATAAATACAAATGACAAAAACCAAATTTTGGTCAAGTTGTTTATTTTCATTGAACTATGCTGTCAGCATTGTATTGTTTAAAGCTGAAAAGCAGAAAGTTGTGCTTCATTTTAGATCCGTTTTCCACTCCGGTCATGAGAGCAGATATGGCAGTTTATAATACAGCAAGCATTCTCCATTCTAATGTGTTTTTAACGGTTTAATATAAATTTTAACATCTACCTCCACTATAACTCGATCTCTAATGTAATGTCCATGTCCCAAAGTCCCAGAATGCCATGCATTGCTGATGTCACGTTCCCATTCTCTATTGTGGTCTATAACTCCTCCCGAACTTCCCGCTGTGCTGTATGTTGCTCTCTCATTGGCTGTAGGTCATCGCAGCTGTAGAACTCATTACGCACAGCAGGATTTTGAATCGCTGACAGGTCCAGATATTTAGCATGCCTGCATTGGCAGGTTAAATAAATAAAAGTGCATAAAAAAGAATCAAAAACTCTTATGCAGTTATTGAAGAGTTAGAGCAGCCGAGAGTGTGAATGTGAATTTCTCACATATGTGTGGGATTTCCCATATCCTGAAACAATTTTAATGTCACCTGTGCACAAATGCCTAGTTGTGTGTGAAAGAGACAGAATGCGCTGTGCACAGATCAGTGGTTTTTCAAAGGGTTTTATGCCAAAGACCCCAAGTATAATAATCCCCTTGCAGGAGATATAATTGCATTCCTTAATTACAAAATCAGCTATATTTTTACATGTATCAAAAACACTTTAATGTGTGAGAAAATATTAGGCATCATATTTAATAAATAATTGGCCTTCTTATTGCCACTGTACTAAAGCCAAAGCATTTAATAAAATATTTATCTTGTATGAAGTTAAAAAAATTTCTCACCAATATTAGCATAAAAGAAACATTGGTAACACTTTCTATGAAGCCCATATTTATAACACATTATAATGAATGCATAATGCATTATAAAAGCCCTTATAATATGTTATATCATCTTATAAATAATCATAACAACAATTATAATACATTATAATGCTTACGCATTTGTGGTTATAAGTTTTAAGATTATGATTATTTATAACACACAATGAACACTATATATCTTGACATTGTTTATTTAAGATCTGCACAGTATCTTACTACATATTGTAAGTGGTTAGGTGTGGAGTGTTATTTGAGTGTTCCCTGTGAGGCTAATATTAATTTTGATGTGAGCTAGTTAATAATTTCAACTGAAAAAAAATCCAGTGTTTATATGTTAGGTTACATTTTATTTTGATGGTCTCCTTAGTCTATTGACTATAAGCAACTTTGCAACTACATGTCAACTAACTCTCATTAGAGTATTAGTAGGCTTAGGTTAAGGTCAGGGTTGGTAGAATGTTGATGTACTTGCAAAGTTAGTTGTAGTCAGTTTGTCTGTTGGGGAACCGTCAAAATAATCAAACAGATATTACATTAAAAATAGTTCAAAGCAAATATGTCTTATTACACATTCATCTGATCTGATATCTGATCTTATGGCTGTTTGAGAAAAAAAAATATTATTATTATTACTATACTTATAACTGGTCTTTGATGGCTTTAAGTAAAGTAGCATAAGAAAGATGGTAAGATATGAGACTTATAATACATTATAACTATGAGAAATATAATCCATTGTAACTTAAGTGGATGCAACATGTTCACTGTGTGTTATAAATCATCATACTCTTAAAAGCTATAACCACAAATAATTAAATATTATAAAACATTAAAACTGTTTTTATGAATATTCATAAGAAGATATAACATATTAGAAGGGTTTTTATAATGCATTATGTATTCATTATAATGCCTTAAGAATACCCTTATAATGTATTATAAATATGGGCTTCATAGAAAGTGTTACCGAAACATTAAATTCAGATTAATCTGTGAAGCACTTTTCTTTAAATTATAATCATCAGGCCATGCAGTACCTGAAAAATAATCTGCCAACAATTTTAGAGTGCACATTATTTTATTTATTTTTTATTTTTTTATTTAAATAAATATTACAAATAAACCAACAATGTAAAAACATTTACTTTCCTGAATCTTTTTTTTTTTAGACCATTCATGAAATGATTTTGTGTGCGACCTGGATGCGCCAGTGAATGCTGGGATATTTGCTAATAAAATGATCATGCCAGAGGAATAGTGTGAGAACTTCATTATGTCTGGTCTCTCTGTATCATCTCAGTCAGCTTTTATGATGTTTCATGAATTCAGTCCCGCATTTTAATATGGTTGCCACTCTTGAAACTTTGCAGTGTGTATGTTGCAGAATGAAAAAATGTATTCAGATTATGAAAGGGTTATAATACAGAGTGAGCAAGGTTATATACAGAAAGCGAGCAAAGATGCTCTCTTTATAATCAATGAGGCCGATAGTTTTTCATTTCAGCCGAAGTGCAAGCACATTGAGTGAATGAAAACTCTCGCTATAATCAAAAAAATAATAATCTGTCTATATTGTACAATGAATACTTTGTTGGTTTTAACTAAACCATTTGTGAGCGAGCAGAGCTCACAATGAACAAACTCTGGTGTATTGAGCAGATTCTAACTAAAAAGCCTCTGATTGGTCATTGAGTTCACATGCTCAACAAACATGTCTGTGATTGGCTACAATTGTCAACGCTGCAAAATCACATTGTAAATAAAAACCTTTGATGCTCTTCACACAAATACGGGAACATCTGAAAGCAGCTGCCTATCAGAGGGAACCGGAATGACCCAGCACTGTCAAAAGGCTGGTATTGTTATGCTTTTAAAATTAAAAAAGTATTGACTTGGTACCAACAACACTAACCCCAGATATACAGTAAATATAACTCCAACTGAACAAAAGAGCCATTTGTTTGCTTTCAAACCATTTGGAATGGTTCCAATGGAAAATAGTTTTCACCTTTTGATCATTCAACCATTCAATAATACAAGCCATCATTCTTCATCGAGGCATATGAAGGCATATAAACAAACACTGTATTGAAACAAAGATAACAATCCTGTTTCCCTTGCTGTATTACATTTGCGAGAGAAAAAATACTGGAAGGATTTTCAATTAACGGAGACAATAAGCGTGGTTGTTAGAGAGCTTGTTTTGTCTAATTGAGGTACCTCGAGACGGGACGCATGTTTGCGGCTCACATTCATTTCAATAAATGACCGTTTCTGACTTACACAAGGAGGGGAATCCAAAACAAAGCAATTGTTCTGGCCTTGAATCACTTTCTCTGTTGTTCACAGTCTCTTTGTCCTTCTAGTGCCTCCAGTAATCCTGGTGTATCCGGAGACTCAGGCCCAGGAACCCGGCGTCGCTGCCAGCCTGCGCTGTCATGCAGATGGTATTCCAAACCCCAAACTCACCTGGCTAAAGAACGGCCTGGACCTGCAGCCACACGGATCCAAGCAGATTTCACTTCTCGGTACGATCCTCTGCCCTCCTTCTAGGAAGCAGGTTTTATTTATTTATTTATTTGACCTTTATTTAACCAGGTGAAACTTTCTGAGATTAAAGGGGTCATCTGTAACGGCTACTAGAGCATTTACGGTAGTTTTGTGGCAGATTGACATCTGCGCATGTGCAAAGCGTGTGTCTGTACGAGTTGGAAAGGTGAAGAGATAACTTGCTCTACCGACATCTTTATTTTATTTTATTCCAATGTTGGATGCTTGTGTACTTTTTTTTCCTCACTCGTTCCCCCATGTATGTGGACGAGTGTGTCGGTGCTTGAGGTGTTTTATTAAACACGGGAAAATACGCCATCCTGAGCTTGGGCCCAGTTTTTGACCTATTTAAGAAGGTTTTTCTGCCATCTGACAATCAGGAGCGCATTATGAGGGGTATCCTAGACAGGGTTCAGATGCCGAACGAACCTTTACCTACGTTTGTCGCCCATATGCTGAGTGAATTTCGAAAATTGAGAAGTCCGCCTCCTCAGCCAGAACAAATTGAGCTAATATGCAAGCACGCTGTCGAAAAATATAGGGTAGCACTCTATGGCACGGCGGTGACGTCTGTGATGGACCTTCTCTTGCGTGCGCATGAGCTGCATGCAGTCTTGGGTCCATGTGGTCAATATGTGCCCGAGGTTCCACAGTCAGTTCCGGTCGTAAGAGAACTTCATTGTTTTAAGTGTTTGACACCGGGGTTTACTTCCCGTAACTGCCCAAACTGTAAGCAGCAAAACAGCCAAACTGTGCACTCGGGAGGTTCACCCAATTGTCAAACTGTACAGACTACAGAGACATCGGGTTCTGAAGTCCGAAGTAACAGGTCTCAAACAACGGTTGCAGGCTTGGGTGCTTCAGTTAGGCCCAGGTCGGGAAACTTCAGGGGGGGGAGGACTTTTCAGAGAGGCAATCCTTCCCCCCCGAGACAGTAATTGAGCCTCACTCACCTGACTCATCCCAGGCCACTCAGCTTGCTCTTGGTCACGTGGAAGACATCACATCCTCATCTTACTGGAACACACCTTTTCGTGTTCAGGTCAATTTTCATGGCCAGGCACTTGAAGCTACTCTGGATACGGGGGCTTCTGTTTCAGCCGTGCGTGCAGATGTTTCAAGATTTGTTCCAGGGGGGACATTTAAAACAACAGCGTGGTTTGCATCTCCTTTGCAGCTTGCCGATGGGGGAATGTGTTGTCCATCAGGTTTAGCGTGGTTACAGTTTGGGTTTATGGGCCAACGCTTTTACCATCGTTTTGCAGTCATCCTAAATCTTTCAACCCCGCTTGTTTTGGGTATAGATTTTATGATGAGAGCTTCTGTTATGATCCAGGTTCCTTCCAGAACTGTTGTTCTGGGGGATGTGCCAGAAGCTGAGGCTGAACTGGAGGGCGTTGAGGTGATGACGCCAAATCACAGTCTGCTTTGCTTACAAGACAGTTCTTCTTGTCTGGACAGGAAAGTTGATGGGGCTGCTTTAAATGATGGTGAAAAAGTCAAGCTGACCGAGTTGTTGAGATCTTTTGCTGAATTATTTGACGGACATTTAGGTCATACATCCATAGTTGAGCATACAATTGACACTGGACAGGCCCGACCTATCCATCTCGCTCCATACCGTACTTCACCGGCAAAGAAAGAATTGATTGAGCGGCAGATTGACATGATGTTGGCAGAAGGCATTATTGAACCGGCATCGGGGCCATGGGCCGCGCCGATCGTTATCGTTCAAAAGCCTTCTGGTGAACCAAGGTTTTGCGTTGACTATTGAGGATTGAATAGACTTACAGTGAAAGACTCGTACCCGCTTCCAAGGATAGACGAGTCCCTCGATTTTCTAGCAAGAGGAAATTTTGTGTCCACAATCGACTTGGCCAGGGGTTATTGGCAGGTTGCCATGGAAGAATCGTCTAGGCCAAAGACCGCTTTCGTTTCTCACCGTGGGCTGTACCAGTTCCGTGTTCTACCCTTTGGCCTGTGCAATGCCCCAGCCACTTTTCAGAGGCTCATGAACACGGTGCTGGCAGGCCTCATCTACAAGTCATGCGCAGTTTATCTCGACGATATTGTAGTCGCCTCACCTACGTTCGAACAACACCTGAGAGATCTTGAGGAAGTCCTGGCTAGGCTGAGATCTGCTGGCCTGTCAATCAAGTTGGACAAGTGTCAGTTCTGTAGAAAGGAACTTACCTTCTTGGGCTATCGGGTCACCAAGGAGGGTATTCTACCAAATGAGGAGAAGGTGAAGGCCGTGGTAGATTTTGCTACTCCAGTAAACTCCAAGCAAGTGAGACAGTTTTTAGGCATAACCAGCTACTACCGGCGCTTCATTCAGCCAGAGTTTCTTTGTCTGATTTATTTGGTGATGTCACTGATGAGGGTGCGAGTGAGTGTGGTGATCCTGCCATTCTCTCTGATTTGACCGAGCGTCATGGTGATTGCGTTGATCAAAGGTATAACGTGTGACCTAGACTTGCACCCAGGATTACCTCAGGTTGGGTGACCAATAAGTGGACCAATCCATTCCACACAGACCGGTTGGATTTAAAATGAGTCTGTTAATGGAGTGTGGGGTGTACATATTTCTCTAAGTCTCCATAATGTTATAACAATATATCGTACCGTTATTGTTTTTGTTGACTGTTTTTAGGTTAACCAACACTGTTGTGTTTTGTTCTTATAAAAGTAAAATCTATCCTGTAAAATGTATTTTGCCATGGGTTTTTGAAATGCCTATGTGTTTTCTTTTCTGTTTGCTTGTCACATTTTCTTTATGTATTCTAGGACAAAGTGGTTTGGTGAGTTAAAAACTGTCATGTATGTTGGTATTTCTCATCATGTACCACTGGTTTTCTTTTTGAGGGGAGTATTTACAACTATTCATGTATGGAGTTGTTTATATCCTGTATTTTCACAGTGCTGTTGGCTGAGGACAGCCAATTTGTTCCGGGGGGGACTCTGTAACGACCACTAGAGCATTTACGGTAGTTTTGTGGCAGATTGACATCTGCGCATGTGCAAAGCGTGTGTCTGTACGAGTTGGAAAGGTGAAGAGATAACTTGCTCTACCGACATCTTTATTTTATTTTATTCCTTTCTGTTTGTGACCTGAGTTGGATGCTTGTGTACTTTTTTTTCCTCACTCGTTCCCCCATGTATGTGGACAAGTGTGTCGGTGCTTAAGGTGTTTTATTAAACTCGGGAAAATACGCCATCCTCTCGTCTCCCGTGCATTATTAGCCCCACACAGTTTCCCATCTGGGCTGTTTAACATTTCAACTCGGTGTTACACATCGGATGCGAAATTCATTTTTACATGTTGTTTGAACTGAAATTTGTGTTGGCAGTGTTTGTAAACATCCACCCTATAATGATAAAAATGTACCCAGTGTTCTGACTGTGATTATTAAAGGGGTCATATGATGCTTTTTTAAAGATCATTATTTTGTGTATTTGGTGTAACAGAATATGTTGACATGCTTTAATGTTCAAAAAACACATAATTTTGCGCGCACACACGCATGCACGCACGCACACACACACGATGCGCAAAACTCAAAACTCCGCATTTGAACAGTCAATAGCAAATACTTAAACTAATAACAAAACAGTAGCTGATTCAGAAGCACCAGATTGTCATAGCAAAGTCAGAATTACCTCCTCTCCTAGGTTCACGAAACGGTCGTCCATAAAATGCATTGCTGTTCTGTTGTAAGTAATCTTAAAGATTCCTAAATGCATCTACTTTCGGAAGGCCAAATAAAGTGCTTTTGCTTTCGCCTAGAAACACACAGCATCTCCCTGACATGGCTGCTTCAACACTAACTGCGGTTACTGAAACCACGCCTTCTTTCTTTGCGTGAACATTTGGGCGGCATTATGCAAATATTTCCACATAGTGAGGTAGATATGTGGGGGCGTGTTAGAACGAGCCGTTTTAGGGGGGTGTGGCAGAGTCTTAACTTTGATAAAGAATATCTCTTTGGTTTTGAGACTTTAGTCTTTGCAACTTCAGGGATCTTATCTATGCACAATCAGCTTGTAACACTCCAAAGAGAAAGGAAAACTTGAAATCGCATCAAATGACCCCTTTAAGATTCTTGACTGTGTGACATCACACAGACACAGGCCCCTCCCACAATTGTTGATTGACACTGGTGTTTTATCACAGACCCACCCTGAGTGAGCTGTCATCAGTCCGCCATTGTTTCGACGCCAGAGTAGGAGCAGACAAGAATGGCTCCTAAGCGATTGAGGTGTTCTGTTGTTGGATGTAATAATGAACATAGCAGTCGTCATTTACTTAGTCGCTGAAGACGCAGAGGATTACATTTGTTTGTGAAGGGAATGCGGCACCCGATCTACCTAAATGTGTCTATATTCACATGAATAATTCGTGATCCAGCCTCACCTACAGAAGAAGTGAATATAAGGTTTTTTTTTTATGAATTCTGCAAATCGCCTTTTCTAATAATGTGCTAGTTAGCAAGTTTCACGATGAATACGGCTAAAATTTACCGTCCCTCAGAGAACTGCGCAACTGCTCATCACCCTACAGAAGAGAGGGGCGGGGTCAGCAGAGCTCATTAGCATTTAAAGGGACATGCAACGAAATGGCTTTCTGTCAACAGCTGTTTTTGATAGGTTAAAAAGGGTGTTGTTTTACACTACCCTACACTACTTACACTACTAACTTTACATTTTGTGTATGTGGAAAATGGGCATCCGATGACCCCTTTAAAAAATCTCTTTTACAGAAGTGACCTGTCCAAGATGCAGCACTACATTTCAGAAAAAGAACACAAAACTCTGTATCCAAAACACAATTAAAAAGATTTACAAGTTAATTCTTCCTTTAACAGCTCATTGATCAAGAATCTAAAAGTGTTCATTGACACTAAGATCTGCAACTTCATGTTGTGTTGTAAAGAGTTCCAATCATTGGGCGCCTCAAACCGAAGAGCTTGTTTTCCAA